AAGGCACATGATATAAAAAGAAGGGAAAGAGGAGGCTCCCTCTGAGCCCAGCCCAGGCAGTTGCTGACATCAGTCAGCCATAGCACATGGATGGGGGTTTACAGCACCTTTTTAACAAGAGCATTTTGTAAGAAAAGGGTTCTTCTTTCAATCCCACCCCCACCACGATTTGTGCCACTCGCCCCTCCCCCGTTGTTTCCCTTGCTCCCTCTGATCTCAGGTGTTCAAAGGCTTTTTTCCTTTGGCTTTAACTCGTGTTCTATAATGGTGAGAATTGTACTATCTAATGATGGGGAGGGAAGGATCTCTTACGTTATTTAATCTATCTTTCTATCAATGCAGGATGGCTTTTTAGTGTTCCACAGACCTCTTCCAGTCTAGTTTTAAATGCTGCCAGTGGCTGAGTTTTGCCATTTCTTGGGGAGGTGACCTCACTAATAGATCTCACCATTATATTTCCTAAAGGGCAGTGGATGTGTATAAAATAATTTGTGATAAATATCAATGCTGTCAAATTTTTTTTTTCATTTCTGGGTCATTTAGAGCCTGCCCTGAAGTGTGTTGTTTTTTTTTTTTTAAAAAAAAGATGTCTTAAGTCCTGTATCAATGGTTAGTTTTGCCTAGTTACTGTTTGTGACTGTGGTTTATTCAAGGCAAGTTTTTAGTTGTTTCTGGGAAAGTGATCTCCTTTACTAAGTCACTTTTTAAAAGTGTTGCCTGGAGACAGTTTGTTTAGTGTAAAACTTCAGTGGTCTGCTTTACAATTTCATAAATGGTTCTGAAATGTGTGACTGGTATTATAAAATTTGTAAATAAAACGTGTGAAATATGTATTTGTCTTTTTATTTACCATTGTATAGTGCAGAATTTGTTTCCAAGACCTGTTTTGTATACAAGGTTGTCTCTTCTAAACAAATTTTTGCACGAGTTTGTTACTTGGGGTTCAATTGCCAGATACGATTTTAAACTTGAATCTTCTAGGAAACTAATAAAAAAGAGCCACACATTTCCAACAGTAGCTTTTCTACGTTATTTGAAGGAGCAGTGCGGAATTCTGTAACCAAGTCTTTAATATTACGCTGGTGAGGTCAGAGGTAGCGTTCTGCTGTGTTCTGGTGATGGTGGTGCGGTGCCTCCCTGCTTTTTGATTTTAGTGTCACATGGGCATCTTGCACGCTAGGGGATGCTGTATAGACCGCCTGAAAACAAAATACCCCCCAGTCTGGGATTCCCTTTGGGCCTTATTGGAATATGTGCTAGATACCTTGACATAACAAACATTTCCAGAAGAGAAGACTTAAATATTCCAACCCTATTTAAGTTATAGTTCTTAAAATGTGACACCTGGACAGCTTGTATTTGAAGCAGGGTGTGCTGCTGAGCTTCCAGTTCTGTGCTGTAGTTTGAAGTAGGCTTCCTTACTAGAGGATGGTACTTCCATGTATGATTCCTTTTAACAGTTTGATACATAATGAAAGTTAACTTGTAACAGTGCCTTCGCTACTAAATGATTCCCCAGCACCTCAGACTTGAAGCTGGGCATAGGTACTTTTGAGACAGCTCTTTGTTTCCCTAACGACTGATGTTAACAGTGCACTGTCTTTTTTTTTTTTTATAAAGGCGAGGATTCAGAATTTAGAGCAGTGTTTTTAATGTGCCATTGTTCAGTCTGCTTTAAAGAAGAAGCCAGTATTCCACAGACGTTTTAATATTAAGTAGCTGTAAACCCACAGTCTTTGATTTCTGCGACTAGAGAGATGCCTTTATTCTAACACTGTTGCTTTCTAGCTTGCATACGCTCAGTCTTGTGACATAGTGTGAGATGGACTTTCAGTGTGCTGCTAGTTTTAGCTAATTAACTGCATTTTCATGTCATTTTATGTACAAAATACACCACCTGCCTGATTTTACTTTTTTCAATATCCTCAAAGGCAGTGACCTTCCACCCCTCCTCCCAACTAACAAGGAATTCTTCCCTCTTCAATATTAATTTTCAGGTCGTGGTAAACTAATACACATTTAAGGGATGAGGAAACATTGTGATTTACCCATATAAAAGTATTCTTGACTTGGTGCCTTTCCATGAACCACCTTAAAGGGGAAGGAATTTAATCTAAAATTGTAAAGCAAGAGCACTTCCACACATTTCTCTGGACAATGGGGCTGCAAAGTAAAGTGTCGTTAATTAACCTAGTTGCCTACCCTGTTTAAACTGAGCAGTGAGGGAAGTGATTTTGGTTTTACCCTGAGCTTACCGAGCGGTGAATGGGACTTAAAGTATTACAAATGGATGCTCTTCTGCGAGGATCACGTTCAACACATGGCTTGGCTCATGGTGTTGTCTTTTGTGTCTCCTTCAACAAGTCTGTGTACTTGCTGGTGTTTCTTGGAACTTTGCTGTGCCTTCTGCTTTGTGACAGCCAGTGGTGGGCATTAAAATCACCTTGATTTGGGCTGGTAGTGCTTTGTGTACGTTAGAAGTCGCTGTAATGGTCCAGCATTGCCACACTCCTGTTGCACAAACTTGCCACAAGTTTTGAAAATGGATTTAAAAAACCAAACAAACGAAACCCAACAAAAAAAACCCAACAAAAAGCAAGCTTCCTCTTGTAGCAAAGATGTGTCCGGTGTTTGAAGACTCCCTTCTGTGAAAATCGTGGTTGCAGTTCGTGAGCTTGTCTGTGCATTTACCCGGTCAACTAAATGATTGAGGCTTTGTCTGGATTTTGAACTTTGTTCTGACTGTGCATTTTTGCACATGCTCTGGAAATCTGAACTTTCACGGTCTACAAGTGCCAAGAGAGAATGGGACTCCTTGCTCTGTCCACTTGGATTACAATGAAGTAGTTGTGACCTGTTCTGCGTGTAGTTTGTGAAAAGTCTGTGATACTCGACGCGTAATCTACGGCTGCAGAAGTTCACTAATTTGGGCTATTTGCCAGAAGTCTGATTTGTGTTCTGTGAAATCCAGAAAAACAAACATTCAGGAGGTTTGAATTATAAACTATTTTTTAGAAGTTCCTTGAAGTGCTAACGCTGGTTTCCTGTCTCAAGTGGGTTTTGAAAGGTTACACTCAGTACACTGCGGCAGTACTGTCTCGTGGGCTGCTTTTTTCTTTTTTCTTTTTTTTTTTCCTTTTTCCAAAGCTTTGATACACAAACAGAATCCTAAGGTGTTTCTTTTTTTGGTATGTTAGACCCACTGTGTCATACTTTGAACTGAGTATTGATTTTCCAGATTAAGTTTTTGTATAAACAAAAAAATCCCAAGCCAAATCCCTTGGTGTTTATAGTGCAACCAAAAAGAGAGGTCTGTATTTCTGGGATTGGTAATCCCTTTATTTAAAAAGTTTAGAATATGTTTTTGTTGTACTAAACTTCTCAGTTTCTTCTTATTACTCCAGGCTCCTGCATCAGAGAAGCTCCCTGTAATGTACCTTATGGATTCCATTGTCAAGAATGTGGGAAGAGAATATCTTACTGCATTTACTAAAAACCTAGTTGCAACATTTATTTGTGTATTTGAAAAGGTATATACACTTTCAGAAAAGTTCTGTATTCTAAGCAAAATTTATTCCTGGTAAAATAAATATACACTTTCAGTTTCGAGTTTTCTTGGGGGGTAAATAAATTGATTGTGAATCTCAGTACTGTATCTATACTGTGGAAGAATATTTGTGCTACTATCAAGCATGTAAACATATTAGCTGAAAGGTGCAAAGTCTTATTTAATTTGATTCATAAACTTCTTTAGTTTTCCTATCCAGGCAAGATTTAGTAAGAGTATTTTGGTTACCTGTTGCTTACCTGGATGGAGTTTTTGTAATGTATAGACCTATTAATTACAAATTGTCTTTGTGCGAAGAATAGGGTGAGAATCAGTTGGGTGTGGATTCCTCAGAGCTTCACTCTCCTGTAATTAGATTTGTCTGATTTACTTAATTCATGATGTGCAAAAAGAGTTCTTAAACTGCGAAGAGTGACAAGCACTGACACCTGGGTCTCTCCTGGTGGTCTGTGAATTGAAAAAAGTGCTGGAGGGAAAGGGTTGTAGAGTGCGTTATGTTAGAGATGTGGTTTAATTTCATTCAACACTGGAAACTGTTGCCATGTCTTTTTAATTTTTTCTCCTAATCTTTAAACTGAGTGAAGCAATTGTGCGTATTTTTCAGTGGGAAAGGCAGAGCAAAGTCCAGCTTTTGAAAGGCTGAACTTGAATGGGTGTTATTAAGTTGGATCAGAAATGAAGGGTTAACTTCTGTGATTTCCTATGTGCTGTAAGAAGGTGGCATCTCATGAATGAGATGAAATGAGCTTTCATGTGTTTATCTATCATTACTTATCAGTGAGGATCTGACATCCCAGTGAGCTTTTTATAGATGGTTTTTGGATATGAAATGCACAATGAAATAAGGAATAGATTAATAATAGAAGATTTAAACTCCTGTGTGTAGAACAGATAGGTAGCTAGACTCTTGTTTTTTCAGTATTAAATTGTGAATGTTCTTTTACTGAGTTGCATTTAATGTTGCAGCTGAAGCTCTGGATAATAAATCATTTTCAGAGTTTTAAAGGTTAACTGTCTGCTGAGCTAACTAGGACTGCTTAATTAATGTGTATTAATTAAATGTGTAAAGTGGCAGTCACTTCTAATAGCTTACTTGGTTGTGTTAAAAGATGCAAGTAAAATTCCAGCACTGACTTTATTTTATCAGTAAATGGTCACTAAGGTATCTTCAGGCACTTGATGAAGTCATAAACTTTTGCTCAGTCATTTCTGCACCCTCTGCAGTGAACTTCATCCCCTCTCGTTGAAAATTGTATAGAGGCCCCCCCCAGTAGCTAGGTATGAATTATTTTTGTTGAAGTTCCTGCACCTCCCCAAAAGAACATTTGACTCTTCTGTTCCTTGCCTGTAACATTTTAAAAATAAAACCGCAGCAAAAACCATACACATAGGCAATAATGATTTAATTGGGATATGAACATTGGGACAGCTGCATATATTTTGTTCTCAGATGTTTTCCATTTATTGTTTAATTGAATTGTTCAAGAGATGAACTAAATTTTGCTTTACTGTAAATTTCTAGCTTACCTGGTCATGAAAGAATCCAAACTAATTGATTAGAGACAAAATGGGCCCTGGTCCTACAAGTATGCTTGACCTGTGGCTCACAAATGGGTCTAATTTTGCAGCTGAAGTGAAATAGAATTGACTTCATTTTAGCTCATCCCCCTTTTGTTGAATTTGTTGGAAACAAAATCCTTCAGTGACTAAACGGCTGAGCAAAACACCTTTTCTGTTGGCAAAGTTTGTTTTTTCCTGATTCCTTTGTCATTGTTACACTCTGTTCAGCACAGACACTTGAATAATGTATTGTCTCGGAGGCTGTTGCCTTTCAATATTTTTGTTACTCTATTTTTTCCACAGAAATTGGGCAAGTAAAATGAGAATTTTGGTAATGGAAAAGTTGAAAGAAAATTCTCAGAGAATGGTAAAACACAATAAAACCTTCAGATGGCCTTGAAACAACAATTTCATATTTGAGCTTCTCTAACTGATTCCTTTGGTATAGATGTATGATCCGAACTGCTTACAAATTAATGTCTAGCAGGTTCACTGTGTTAAAAAAAGCAAACTGTTGATAGTAATAAGAAATCAATGAAATCTTAGGTTCTACAGAAAAGTTTAAGAAATTGTTTTATATTAACTTAACAAGCCATAGAATTGTTTTATTGTTTTAGGTGGATGAAAATACTAGGAAAAGTTTGTTTAAATTGCGCTCCACATGGGATGATATTTTTCCTTTGAAGAAACTATATGCACTTGATGTCAGAGTCAACTCATTAGATCCTGCTTGGCCAATTAAACCTCTGCCCCCAAATGTGAATACTTCTAGCATCCATGTGAATCCTAAGTTTTTAAACAAATCGGTAAGTTTTTATTCCTACTGTGTGAACAGATGGTAATGTGTGTAATTTTCATTGTTTGTCTGCTGCTTTTTGACGATTTTAGTATATTGCAAATGAAGTATCTGACATTTGTTGACAGGTAAGAGGAATTTCCAAGTTCCAAATATTTGATATTTTTGAGTTTTATATTTCAAAACTATATTCTAGATTTTGGAACATTGATGAACTTATAATACTTGATGTACACCTGTCACAGCAGGCAAATTCTAGTAGGGCAAAAGTTTTAAATTGGTTTTATTATATTTTGCATTAAAAATGCAATTTATAGCCTGCTCTGCAAACCAAGTCCAAATACGCGATCACGGTAACAGTTAAAGGAGATGGAGTTAGTTGATTCCATCAAGATTTTAAAAGTAGCTTTTTTTGTTCTGTTTTTAGCCAGAGGAATCTCCTTCACCTACCTCTGCTGTCACTTCTGGTGCCTCTACTCCTCCAGCTGTTCCTGAAATACAAAAGAATTTGACACAGGAGCAACTGATAAGGCAGCAATTGCTTGCAAAGCAAAAGCAGTTGTTAGAACTTCAGCAAAAAAAATTAGAGCTGGAGCTGGAACAGACTAAAGCACAGTTGGTGAGTAGGATAGTTGATGAAACCTCGCTGGGTCTCTCTTTCTTTCGGCTGGTACTCAGCTGGCCTGGTAGCTGCAGTACACTGATTTTTTTCCTCATGGTAGCAAGCGTTGCTGTTTCAGGACTAGAGCAGTGCAGTTTGATCGGGGGTTCCTGAACGGTATTTATTACCTCAAAACCTTAATAATTACACTCAAGTTAAAAAAAAGTGAAGTTCTCAAGTTGTTTACTTCTCTCCAAAACAATGCCTGTCTGTCATCCTTGTCTTCTGCCTTTTCTCGTGGCTCACAGCAATCTGGGCTTTTTTGGATTTTTTTTGCTCTTAAAAAGACAGTCAAGCCTGACTGTTGGAAATAAAGTCCATTTCCTCGTTAGGTTGGTTTCCTTTGATGCTGCCATCTGAAGATGGCAGTTAAGCAGTTTTGGTTTACGTTTGCAATTGAAAGTTTTGCTACGTTGACAGTCGATACCAAAATAAAGCATCTGTGAAGTGCAGCGATACGAATATTACATCACGTCCTTGGCAGATGAGTTGCCTTGAGCATGTGCAATGAGAACTTGCGCCTGAGTTAAGTATTTTGCAGTATTGACTTTGTAGTACTGATTTTTGCATTATATTTGATTTTTTTGCTACAGTACTGCAGCATTTTAACACCTGGAATTAGCAGTTAATGGGTCATTTTCAGTTAAATGGCTGAACCTCAACTTCTAAGACCTTTCTATTTATAGTTTTAGTTTCAAGGCAGAATACGACCATATTGGGGTAGGAGTTGTGCAGATTAACGCTGAATTTTTTACTATTTCAGGCTGTATCTCTTAGTGTTCAGCAAGGATCATCTACTATAGCTTCAGTTCCAGCACCTTCCAAGCAACACATGTCTCCCACACCTCATATGACAGTTAAGCCACCTCATCAGCCTGCTGTGCAATCAGAAAAAACCAAACCATCCCCAAGTCCTCCGCTTCATGATGTCAAAATAGTAAATAGGGATCCTCGACTTAACAGGATGGCTCAACATTCTTCTCATGCTAAAGATCAATCTCACAGGAAAGAGTTTCCACCAAACACCACCAGTCAGTCTGAGACCAAGACAAACAAAACAACCCAGGCTGAAAAACAAAGCTCAGCAAAGCAAGAAAAATTGAAAGCAAGTGAAAAAACACAGAAGAAAGAACTTGACCAGTCAGAAGCAAAATCTAAATCACCATCCCCTTTGAAAAATAAGCTACCCAATACTAAAGATACTAAAACCCAAGAATGTGAAAGCACAAAAGTAACTGAAATTAGTAAGCGGGATCCAAGACTGAAGAGGCATCTTCAAGATAAGTCGGAGGGCAAGGAGGAGGAGGTGAAAGAAAAGAGGAGAAATATAGAGAAAAAAGAAAAAGAGGAGCATAAGACATGTGAACACCGGCCAGTAGGCAGCAGAAATAAGGTAATTAATGGTGCTGTTCAGAAACAAGACACGACTACAGAAGAGTCAGAAAAACAGGGAGGAAAACAAGGAAGATCAAGTAGTAGAAAACGGTCACGATCACGCTCTCCTAAGTCACGGTCACCATCCACACATTCTCCAAAAAGACGAGAGAGGAGGTCACCCAAAAGAAGACTCAGGAGTTTATCTCCCACTTCATCATCTCCTAAAATTGGAAAGGTCCGTCAGATAGGCCCTAAGCAGTCTCATGTTGAAGAAGGCACGCAAGCCGCAAGAGATGAAAGAAATTCTAGTAAGAGAAACGTTAAACAGGAGGTGCGAGATCCAAGGAGAGTGAAAAAAGCCCAAGAAGACAGGCCCCAAGAAACTGCAAGCCAGCATTCTGCAAAAGCTGCTCCTGATCCAAAGGAGAATGCAGAAAACTGGCAAGGATCCAAATCAGGCAAGAGGTGGAAATCTGGTTGGGAAGAAAATAAAAAGTAAGTTACTGTCCTTTATAAACAACTTGTGTTTGAAGTCAGTGGAAATTCTGCTGCTTTGCTTAGTACAGTTGGCTTTGGGAGTCGGTGTTCAGATTGTTAAAATTGATAAGTTTCACTTAATTTCTACTACTGAAATAGGAGAATTAGACATACTTAAGTTCTAAGGTGGTAGTGATGTTTTGTGATGATCACTTCTGACAGGAATGTAGCAGTTATGTCCTGAATAAAGAAGGAATCTATGTTTTAACTGTTTTGTTGCTTTCAGCTCACAGCAGAGTGAAGAACACCAAGCACTCAGTAAATCCCCTCACCAAAGACACCGGGAGAACTGGCCTGCTGGTAAAGGAGTTTTATCACCTCGAACACCAAAGCAGCAGCACCGATTGAGTGTGGACGCCAATTTACAGATTCCCAAAGAATTGACATCTGCAAGCAAAAGAGAACTACTGAAGAAGGTAACAATCATAAGTCTGTTTTCAGAGAAATCTTCTGGATATAGTTTGCTTTTCATTGTGAAAGTCTAAAATTTAACTTTTTATTATAGGCCAATGAACGCTTAACTTCTGGCGAAATAACACAAGATGAGTTCCTCGTGGTAGCTCATCAGATCCGGCAGCTGTTCCAGTATCAGGAAGGAAAGCACAGATGTAATGTCTGGGATAGCCCTACAGAGGAAAAATGTGGTTTGAAAAGGAAACCTCTTCTATCGGATGCAGAATTAACGTACTATGAACATAAGGCCAAGCTAAAAAGAACGCAAGTTCAGCATTCGTTGTCAAGGCTTGATCTGTTGGATCCTGATGATATTTTGGATTGTCATTTACCTGATGCATTGCTTTCTGGAATAGAATGCGAGCAAGCAAAAGCCAAGCGCGGGGTACAGTTTGACAGAAAAGAACCATTTGGAGAAAGATCAAGGAGACACTCTCCTGTAAGTGGCACAAATAGACCTTTTCCCGATAACCTCTCACCACTTGAGAGTCGACGAAGACTTGAGGAACAAAATGCTGCTAAAGGAGCAAGAGGTTCGAAGAACTTTGATCCTTATGACAGCTGGGGGGAGTCAGATGAATTTAGAGATGCTCTCAGACAACAGGGGAAAAGCACAACTGAATTCCAGAAAATAGATGGTGAGGCGGTCTGCAGATTCGATAATCGCGAAGACAGACAGCTGCTTGGGCAAGCTGGTATGTGCTTCTGCTTTATTTTACATCTGTTAAGTAATCAGCAACATTTTCATGAGTAGTTACCTGATTTATTCTGGGTTTTTTTAGGTGTTAGAGAGGAACCAAGGTCACCATTCAGTGAACGTTTCAAAAGAGCTCGGTATGAGGATCCAGAGAAAGCACCGTTTCCAGAAAATCCAGGATCAAGATTTGGAGGCATTGAAGCAAAGCAGAGGATAAGTGCACTAATGGAAGACAGACCTCTGTTTGATGGCCCGCCTAGGCAGGCTGCTGCAAGGGTTGGGGTGGATGGACAAGGAGGTCCATTTGTTGATGGTCCTGCTGCTGGTTCAAGTTCCAGAATTGATGGGCCACCTGGACAGTCTGCTCTGCGATTTGAGGGGCCTTTGGTAGGGGCAGGTGCATCTCAGTTTGATGGACCCCTGGCAGGAGCTGGGGGAGCTGGAGCACTAAGATTTGATGGGCCACCAGGGCAGCTGGCAGGGACCCTGAGGTTTGAAGGACCCCCAGGGCAGGTTGGTGGAGGAGGCCCACTGAGGTTTGAGGGACCTCTTGGGCAGATAGGTGGGCCTTTGAGGTTTGAGGGGCCTGCAGGTGGTCCTAGATTTGAAGGACCTGGAGTTGGTCTCAGGTTTGAGGGTCCCCGTGGTCAGCCCTCAGGTGGTCTCAGGTTTGAGGGACCTCATGGTCAACCCTTGGGGCCTCGAGGTCAACCAGGGGGTGGTCTCAGGTTTGAGGGACCCCATGGTCAACCCTTGGGGCCTCATGGTCAACCAGGGGGTTGCCTCAGGTTTGAGGGGCCACATCTACAGCCATTGGGACCCCATGGTCAACCCGGAGGCAGCCTCAGATTTGAGGGGCCACATGGTCAGCCGATGGGGCCACATGGACCGTCAGGTGGTGGGCTCAGATTTGAGGGGCCACATGGACCATCAGGTGGTGGGCTCAGATTGGAAGGACCACATGGTCAGCCAGGTGTAGGTCCTAGGTTGATTGATGGACCCGTACACCAGGGAGCTGGTGGACTCAGATTTGACGGGCCTCTGGGTCGGGCCGGTCCGAGATTTGATGGTTGTCACGCAGCTGGATTTGATGGTCAGCCTGGACAGCTGTCTCTCTTACAAAGATTTGATGGAATTCATGGACAGCCTGGTCCAAGATTTGAAAGGGTGCCTGGCCAGCAGGCACAACCGCGATTCGATACAGCCATACCTCAGAGATTTGATGGACCTCACCAGCCAGCCTCTAGATTTGACTTGCCCCTTGGCCTTCAAGGTGCACGTTTCGAAAATGTAGCTAACCATCCTGCCTCAAGACTAGAAATGTCAGCGTACGGACAAGGCGGTCCGTTTGTTGAACATCCCGGCCAGGGCTACAATGGACCATCTCATGGGATGCCCTTCCAGAGACCTGATCTCTTTGATGGACCAAATTTCAATGGGCCAGCTGGCCCTGGAGCACAGAATTTCTCACTGAGAGCAGCTGGACATTACTTTGATGAAAAAGGTCTTCAGGGTCCTCAATATGGAAACTTCAGTAACATGCCAATGGGAAGTAATCAGGTGAGAACCGATTGTGTTATATCATTTGCTTCCCTGAAGCAAACGGTTTTGTGTAGAGGATTAGCAGGTTTTCTTCCTTTAAAAACTGAAGATTTCTACTGAAAAGCTGGCAGACTGGAGGGCTGTTTCAAGCTGAAAATGTCATCTTTCAGTAATTACTAGATAATTTAAGAAGGACATGCATTGCTGTTTTTCAACAACTGAAATTGTAGATCTTTGCAATCGCTTTGTAGCTCAGAATATGACAGTGAAATTAGTATTTTTAACTTGAAAACAAAACTAAGTAATGGGAAGCCTGTGGTGTTTTCATTAAATTTGCACAAAAGAGAATTCTATATGAAGCATAAAAGACAGTGTAAGTGAATATATGATTAATATGATTATATATATTAATATAAAGATTATAGATATGTAAGTGAATACATGATTAGTTTTTCTAAGAATTAGAATGGACCAAAATAATTGGGTTTTTTGCAGCTATTGGCACTGGTGGCAAGCCAGTTTTAATGAGATGTCAGTAACTTGGGGGAATTGAGAAAGAGGTGGACGTTGAATTATAGCCTTTTAAAATTCTCTCGGCACCAGCATGCTTTATGAGTTCTGTCCTCTTTGCCATTGCCTATTGGAAATGTTCTCTTACAAAGGCGAAGAGGATACTTTATGTCAGTGGAAACAATGTAATTTCTTTCAGTAGGTCAGAGGTTTTAGAGAGCATTTTTCACTTGAGGGATAACAATTGAACGCCAAAGAGTTAGCTGATTGCATGAAAGCAGGTAATGTGTCCCGCCAACCTCTAACGGGATCAAATTTTGAACAATTTGTAAATCCAGAAAGTAGCTAATTAGAAAAAAATATTACAAATATGTTATAAAAACATTTTTCTATCCACAGCTTAGTGTATCTGATTTGCTGAAAAATCCCGCTTTCAGGATGTGTTTCGTGTAGTGGGTGCTATTCCAGTTCTTAGATAGGAGTTCAGTATGCCCTTAGTAGACATCTACTGTTTTCTCAAATTTCTTTCTGATCAGCTCTGTTTTGGTGATGAGGAGCAATTTAAAAGGAAGCACTCTGTTTGGCAAATGTGATTGAAGGCTTGATAGGTAGAAGAGGAAGCGGCTTTTAATTTAAATTTTGGGCAAAACATATTCTGAAATTTTTCTCATGGGAAATGAAAATGAGGGAAAGGTTATGTAGTCACTTGTGGCCCTTTCAGTACCAAACTGACGTGCTTAATTCCTGGAAGGAGTTTAGCACATATAAAATTATTGAGACCTATGTAGAAGTTAATGATAAAACTAAAAAAAACCCCAAACAACAACCCCCAAACTTTATAATTGCATTATTTTACAAAAAAATACATAAATTTTTACTTCCACAGGTTTCTCTCATGTCTGCTCAAGCAGGGCACTATGGCCAAGGTCAACAATTTTTGCCAAATCCTGGAAGTTTCGCTCAGAACCCTGCAGGTGTGTAAGAAAATAATTAACTTGCGTTTACTACTTTTGGATTGTTCTCTATGTTTATAGCCACAAAAATTACCCTTTTGTAATGGCTTAGCGTAGTAGATCTGTGAACTAAGGGAAGCCTCCTCAGTGAGGTGGCCATAGGGGTGGTTTCTGTAGAATCTTCATCTCTTCAGGGTTTTTCTTCAAACAGTGAAGACTTTCATACCAAACCCACAACATTAATGAAGAATAACGTAGTTGTGATAAAGAAAATTATGAAATTCTGGTCTGTTTTTCTGGAAGTCACCAGTCTGTAGGTCTGGCTTGCGTTTTCCAGGGTGTGTAAACATTTCTGGTATATGAGTGGTCAGTAAAAACGAAGCTTCTAAAAAGTTATAAATGGTTAAAGGAGGTGAAGAAGTAGATTGGTCCTGGTAAAATATTTAAGCATAAAATAAGGAAAATGCTGCCCATCCAATAGAAATCTGTGTATGGGCAACCAGCTTAGGCAGCACTTCAAGGTATGTTATGAAGGGCAGAAATTATCCAAGGGCTAGGCATAAGGCAAAGAGAGCTGGTGAATAATTTGAAATAGAAAGATGGAAGAGACAGGAGGCGAAAGGGTAAATTGTGTTGTGAAATACGCTGATAAAAGTGAAGTAAATTTCTGATGCTAACCTTTTGTCTTCTGGAATATCAAATGTTTTTCCCCAGGAGCCCTTCCACATTCATACCCTGATAACCACCTTGGACAGGTTGATGTCAATGAATTGTTTGCTAAACTGCTGAAAACAGGGATCCTCAAACTGTCAAAAACTGATTCTACTTCAGCACGTATGTAGATTTATGTTCTAACTACTTGGTTTATCTGGCTGAAGTGTGTGAAGTATAAGAACTTCTGTGAATTCCGGCATGGTTTTGTTTTTTAACTGAACTTTTATTTTTTGAGGAGGGATTTAGTGCATGTGGTGGAGTAAATTCTTACTCCCATGTTTAATTTTTGCGCTTCAACTATCCAGAGCAGTCAGTTTTGTCTTTGGTGCCTGTGCCTCGGTAACTTGTTTTTGATTATAATCACGTTCTTGTCAGTTTCTGAAATATTTCTGTGTCACTGAAGACTGAATTTCAATGTGAAAGACTGAGATGAAATACTGTTTTCTTGAATAGAAATTCTGAGTAATTTACAGTATCTCATATGCTTTATTTTTAATGTTGTTAGAAGAGGGCTGACTTAGCTATTGCACGCTTCTATTTTAGCGTAGTTTGTATTTACTGATAACTTTGGGGAGCCTGTAATTTCTTTATGATGATGTACTGAGCTTTTATAAAAGGATACCTTTATGCTTTCTAGAAGTGAATGAAACATCAGCCCAGCCAGGTGCCGAAGAGGAAGACGATGACCAGAATGAAGATCAGAATGTTCCAGACCTCACTAACTTCATAGTTGAAGAACTTAGACAGTGCGTATAGTAAAATCGAGTTTACAGTCCAGTATTGAGAACGACGTGGTAGTATCTAGGTAGTTAATCCAAGACAGCTGAGAGCTTCTGCAAGGTTACATGTCACTTTGTGACAAGGAGGACCTGCTGGTTTTTATGTGAAGCTTGGAGAGTTTGAGGGAGGAAAGGAAGGAAAATTAATGTGGGAAAATACATCTTTACCCAAGTTACATGTCGTTACTTAAGCAGTAAGGATGTGATCTATATTGAAGTTGATGTTTCTTCCTTTGTTGCTACTTATTTTACCACCTTTGTGGTAGTTTGCAAAGCTGAGCCACAGGCAGACATTACAGCTTTATGCACTATTAGGTGATTAAGCCAGCAAGCATGAAACACTCACGTGTTTCTCATGAATACTTAATATGAGCCCTTTGTTTGTTATTTGAATGTTTCGATTGATTGTGTTATTTCAAAGAAATGCTAAGTCTCCTTCGTTTTGGTCCTTTTTGTAGGCGTTACGATAGTGTTATAAATCGACTGTACACTGGAATCCAGTGTTACTCGTGTGGAATGAGATTCACTACTTCACAGACAGATGTTTATGCGGATCATTTAGATTGGCATTATCGTCAGAACCGGACAGAAAAAGACGTTAGCAGAAAAATTACCCACAGAAGATGGTACTACAGTTTAACAGTAAGTAATGCAGTTTGTGTCTTGATAAATTGCAGCCCAGATTCTGTGTTTTACTTCTGTGGGTGCTGTAGGGTTGCGGTTGAAATTTACATCATCGCAGGAGCCGGCCTTTGGTAAACAACAATGTCTTGGATGTTTCAAGTAGTTCTCAAATGCCTGTCAAATACAAAAGGCGATTGTGTGATGAACAATAAACAGTTTGAAGCTGTTGGTACTGTTTTCATCGCAGGGAGAATGGAATGGAAATTGAAGGGTAATGGTTTTACTGGAAAAAAACTTTTTTGTAGTGTTGTGACAAAGCATGCACCCCGCTAATGCTGCATGCGAGGAGCATTTCCATTTTATTGAAGTAAGATTTATGAAATATGGTACTTCTCCCCCCCAGTGCATTTATTTTAAACATTTCTGGCTTTTTGTCAGTGTCTGAGTGCAAATGACAACTCTTTCCTTAGGACTGGATTGAGTTTGAAGAAATAGCCGATCTCGAGGAGCGTGCAAAAAGCCAGTTTTTTGAAAAAGCTCATGAGGAGGTTGTGTTGAAGACACAAGAAGCTGCAAAAGAGAAGGAGTTCCAGAGTGTCCCTGCTGGACCAGCTGGAGCAGTTGAGGTGAGTTTCAGTGGGCTTTTGTTAGCCCAGATACAGAGAATTGTCAAATACGTCAGCATTTCCAACATTCTTTCATACTGTGTGTAGCCTGAAATGTTGTTCTTGGACCTTTGTGTAGCCACTTTGTGGTGCGGTTGCTTCCCAGGGGCCGACAGTAGTGTAAATCACCCGTAGTTCAAAAAAACCCCACATCTACACCCACTGGTATTGAAACGGACAAAGTGTGTTAATTTACTGAATGTTTCCATAGAGGGAGTAAACAGAGCAAGGGAATTGGAAATGGTTCTTTGTAATTCAAATAATAGAGTTTGCTGGGCTTTTGATACTTTGACACAAAAACTTCTTTTTTTTCAGTAGAAGGTAGGCATTAGGACAAAGATATATCTCAAATTAACCACTAGTTCTGTATTTTGCTACATGAATTACTGTAGTAATCAAATACAAGTGTTGGTGGAACTACAACTTTAGTTTTACGTGCTAAAGCCCTAAGAAACTAGCTGTTAAGTCCTGAAGACCCATTTTAATTTTAAAAAGTAGGCTTTGTGCTTTGTTCTCTGAACTGATTGCTTTGCACAGAAGTACTGAAAATATACTTCATCTAAAAGTTCTGCCTTTTTAAGTTGAGACTCTGGGTTAAGAGAAAGATTGAAGGTAATGCCAAAAATTAATTAAATATCTCTACTGGATTGTCTTACGTGACAGTAAAACAGCATTAGTTTGCTCAGTCTGCAAGCTATACTCAAATAATATTTTGACTAAAGTTTTTGAAGTTATTTTCAAAGTGTGGAGGACAGATCATGTTGTATTTATCTTAAATGACCCTGTTTTGACTGTTACTAGAATCTCTAAGTTCAGTGAATTGTTGCAGTAACCTCATATTATTTGTTACTCCTCAGAGCTGTGAAATTTGCCGAGAGCAATTTGAACAGTATTGGGATGAGGAGGAGGAAGAGTGGCACCTGAAGAATGCTATCAGAGTAGATGAAAAGGTAATTGATCTCATTTACATGTGATACTGATACTAAAAAACCCTAAAGAATTACAGGAAAACCTTGAGGGGGGCCAAGTGCTCCTTCTCTCCTGAAAGATTCCCATAGTAGTTTCCCTGTCTTCCAAGTACATAAATACCTCAAGCTTTGGAAGTGCGTGAAGAAGTCCTGGTATCATTAGTATGGGCTCACTAGCCTTCCCATATCCTGCAGTGCTAAAATAAAAAAAGTCTCTTTATAGGCTGTCGATATTGGTTCAGTTATTTTTGTATACACTTGTACACAAATAATTCCCAACATTTTACCAGGCTTCTCTCTGATAACTTTTCCTGAATCAACATACACAAAATCTTTTCCCAGTTAGGTTTTTCAGCCTAGTCATTTTTCCACACAAGTTGTGTGGTGTGTGTAATTGACACTGTTCTGTTCATAACTAGTGACCCTGCATAATTTATTTTTATGCACTTAAGTGTGTAACAATTCTCTTTTCAGATTTACCATCCATCTTGCTATGAAGATTACCAAAACGTAAGTGAATCCTTCTTTAGAGCTTGTGAAGCAGTTTGCTTTTAGTTTGTGTGCTCTGACTTTGCAGCGGGCGTGTTCAGAATGTGCCACCCGTTTCTCTTGCCTTGATTAAACAAGTGGCAAGTTGTCTGATTCTGTATGATAAGAGGTATGTCTTGTGATTTACTGTGACAGCTTGTGTGTCATACTCGCCCGAAGTGCAGCCCTGGTTCGAAAACACACACATCATGCGTTTATTGCTGAGTAATGCGTGTAATTGTAGGAATTTGCAAAAACGGAGTACATGAGTGTTGGTGTGAGTTACTTCTTTTTAATGCTTTGGGAGTTACAGTTCTCCTGGGGAGAGTAGAGAATAGGTTATGGTAATGTGTTAAGCATTTCATCCCTGCTTAGATAATACCTTTTTAAAGTAATTATGAAAAAATAATGCTGTTAAAGAATAAATTTATTTTCTTAGGATCTTGATAAAGTAGAAGTTTGGATTTGGTTTGCCTATCGACATGTTTGCATTTTGAAAAAGAGTAAAAGGGATAAGGAGCTAAAAAATGTTTATTTTAATGTGTGCTAATGCTAAATGGATTTGCTTTGCAGACATCCTCATTTGATTGCACACCGTCTCCCAGCAAAACTCCAGTAGAAAATCCACTAAATATAATGTTGAACATTGTTAAACAAGAAACACCAGAGTCCTGTGACTCACCTAAAGTCAAAGAAGAACCTGATGACACCCCTGCTGCCTGTGCAGAAGTGAGCACACCTGCATCTACAGAGATAAAAACAGAACCAGAGGAGTCTGTTCAAAAAACCTGAAGTATGATTTTTTTTCTTTTTTTTTTCTTTTTTTTTTTTTTACAGAAGAGCTGCTGTGTTAACTCTGGAAGGCAAATACTTTTTATATGAAATAAAAATGTTCAACTGAGGCAGGGCCTCAACTACTGTTTGATTAATAAATACATTTTGGTATTTGAATTTCTTATTGCCTGCACAGTTTCAGGTGTCATTGTGTGAAAGGTCTGTAGATGCGTGAAGATTTAATGGAATGAAATGGTATATGTAAAAATGTACAATTTTCACTGTGGAAATGTAAATTATAAATAAAAGATATTTTTGCTATATATGGAGTGTAATGTTTATGCACACCATCAAATGAAGACAGTGTTTCTGTACTTTTTTCAGTTTAAATGGAATTAAAAAGAACTTTTGCTCAGTAAGACTCAGAAAAACTAACTTCAGTTATTCCGTAAGTGGGTTCTCAAGGGAAACAGTGCAGGAACTTCTCAGCCAGCCCTATATCTCTTTTCTTTTTACACTTATTTGAACAAACTTACATATCCGGATATTTTAAAAAATAAAAAAAAAATCCACAAAACCAAAACAAACAAAAACACCACACTAAAAACAGTTCTGGTAGAAGGGGAAGACTTAACAAACCAACGGGAGTGCTCGGTTCTGAACACAAGTGCCAACAAACCATTAACAAACCAGGATGCCTGGTAGTTAAAAGACTTTTTAAAATATTTTTTTCCATTAGTCAAATACATAAGAATTTAGTACAACTGAACAAACTTTAAGTTACAAGAGGGAGTGAATGTAAGAATGCTCATTTGAAACATGGTTAACTTTTTTTTTTGTTGCTTATAACTGGATTTAGATGATAAACCAGATATCCTGAGATGTTAATATTTCTTAAATGTAATAAATAAAATTAAACATATATTTGAGTGTGAGTCTCTTCCTTTCAGTAATGGGCTTGTGTAACTGGCATGTTTTCGGGAAATAATCATACAGTTGTGTGTTTGGGACTATTTAGTGCTCTGCCATGTGTACAGTGCTTGATGATTTTTTTTCAGGAGCAAGACGAGTGCTAGGAGCAAGACGAGCACTAGAAGACAAAGAGCAACATCACAGCCCAGTGTATGACTTTTGCAGGAGGGGTACTTACGATACCAGATTCCACCTTTAATGTGTGATGAAAGTACAAATAATAAGCTGCAAAGGTGATTTCGGTGTTGCCTGCAACAGTTCTTCCCATCTTTGCAACCTGTCATCAGGAAGTTTTTAGGATGTTATTCCTTGACTCTCGTAGCTGTAGTTGTGACTGTGCTCTGTTCTAGGTGTGCATCTTAAATTTGGATATTAGTAATAATTTCTTTACTGAAAGGGTTAACAGGCTGCCCAGGGAGGTGTCACTGGAGGTGTTCAGTGGGTAGATAGGCTGAGGGGCATGGTTTAATGGTGTTGATAGGGCTGGGACAGAGGTTGGACTCGCTGATCTTGAAGGCCTCTTCCAACCAAAACTGTTCGATGATTCTAGTATCTTCCAAGTAGATAAAGTGTAGAACAAAAATACAGGATTGATCAGGGATAAGTTGGTCCTTGTGATTTCTTCCCCTTGGGGGAATGTATGCTTGGATCACCTGATACTCTGTGTCCTGGAACATTGTAAACTTCTTACGGAAAATGGAAATTTTAGAGGGCACTAAGCAAAGAGATGATGTTTTTAAATACGTAGAAGGTTGTCAGGAGGGATAGAACAGAGAGGCCTGTTAAGTTGCAGCAGGAGGATTTATGGCAACTTTCTAACGACGAGGGTAATTAAACTCTACCTTACTTGGTCCATGTAATTGTCAATGTGTCCTTGTAAATGTGATGGGGAAGGGTTCATCCCACCTGGGAGCAGGACTCTGGAAGCGGAGGGTGCTTCTTTGTCCTGCTCAGGGAACCCGGCTTCCCTCCCGGACACCGCTGGGTTTGGCTCAGGGGGCTGAGGAGGAGGACCATGAAACTGGGGGAGAAAAACCTCCCTCTCCCAACATCTCGGTGCAGAGAGAGGGTTAAACACACAAATCGTGACAGGATACCGAAGAGACCACAAACGGCCTGAATACCTCTCGGTTAATACATCACTCATGGCTTCGGCGATGAGAATAG